TTCTCAAAACTAATAAAGATTTTAAAAAAATTAAAAAAAAAAAAGTCTGACTTTGGCTCAGATCATGATCTTACGGTCCACGGGTTTGAGCCCCATGTCAGTCTCTGTGCTGACAGCACAGAGCCCTCTTGGGATTCTCTCTTTGTCCCTTCCCCACTTGGGCACGCGCTCACTCGCTCTCTCTCTCAAAATAAATAAACTAAAGGGGGGGTAAGGGTTAAAAAAATTAGCCTCTAATGCTGCTGATTATTTGGTGGGTCTTTGGTCTCTTTCTGTAAAAAACCATGATCCTGTAATTTCTGGGCAGCTGCAGACCGATTTTAAGCATTTGTTATTTTGCATTGCAAAGGGGTTTTTTTAAAAGGTTGCACAGATTACCTGTACCACAAAAACAGTGGGATCATAGTCTGCCTGTCTGCAGTATATGCTTTGATTCTAGCTTGACATATAACTTCAGGATTTTCTGTATATTTCTTTTCTCTTTTTCTTTTTTTCTTTCTTTCTTTCTTTGTTTTTTTTTTAAGTTTATGTGTTTATTTTGAGAGACACAGGCAGAGAGAGAGAATCCCAAGCAGGCTCTGTACTGTCAATACAGAGTCTGATGTGGGGCTCGATCCCAGGAGCCGAGAGATCATGACCTGAGCCCAAATCAGGAGTCAGACACCCAACCGACTGGGCCACCCAGGCGCCCCATCCTCTTTTTCTTTTTGAAAGGTCAAACTACTTCCCTATCCAATGCAGTCGCATTGAGTTAAGCTCAGCCATTAGTGAACGACCTCTGCCACGTCACAGGCTAACATTTCCGTCATGCAGCATGCCCAGCTCATGGTGACTTTCCACTCTTTTCCCATAGTAAGTGTGAGAAGATTTTATCTCACAACCCAGTGTGTCCACACAGTACATAGACAAGGCATCTGTGTGTGTAAACCACAGAGACAAAAGTTTCAAGAAGCAATACTCTGTTTTCTAATACTGTTTTTTTTTATGACATCATCTTTTAGATTGATTTCAAGATCCACAGTTTCAAAGATACTTCCCTTTGGAAGGATATTTGAATTTTATTTTTTAGACCCGATTTTAATGACTTTCAGATTTTTAATATCGAGTATTAATGTCTTTCATAAGCATTTAAAAGGGGGTTTGACTAAATACTTAAAGCAAATTTGTTAAAAGAAATGTGAAGTTCTCCTGTATTAATAAAATGTGGTCCTTGTGTATGGCACCGGAGTGTTGACGTCATCTGTGTGTGGCCTGTGTTCTCCACCGCAGGAGCAGCCTAATCAAGTCAACTATGGAAATATTTGCACGGGATTGGAAGTTCTGGGTTTCTTGCTCACTGTCTTGCAGTCTCCAGCCATCCTCAGCAGCTTCAAACCTCTGCAGCGTGGGATCGCTGCGTGCATGACATGCGCGAACACCAAGGTTCTCCGAGCGGTCCATAGCCTTCTCTCCCGCCTAATGAGCATTTTCCCAACAGAGCCAAGTAGGTGACCTTTGCTCTGGTGCCTCAGTGGATGGGAGGGCACGGAGCTTGTCACTCGAGAGTGCTCCTCCTCCAGTTACTATAGTGAGCGTTTACTTCGGGCTTTCCATCTTTCTTTGAAAAAAATTTTTTCTTGACCTAAGAACTTAATGGCGGCAGTCGTTGCATTATGTTTTTTGTTTTGCTTTGGAAATGCTGTTACTCATCAGCCGAACGTGACTTTCCTTAGGCAGTAAAGGAAATTGGGTTACAGTGTTTTGTCCAATGTCAAACGGTCGAGGTCAAACTTTGGCATACTGTAAGTGAGTGGATCTTGGGTGCACTCCGGGAAAGCTTGGGGGATAAAACGTTGTCCCTTAGCTCTGTAAAGTCGGAATCCTCTCAGAGATGAGCGCCACAAGTCCTGCAGTGTGAGAGAAGCGCCCATGCCGGTTGTCCCACATCCCAAGATAACTAAGGCCCCAGACCTAGTGTGAGGAAGGTCAATGTCCCGGTGCCCTGATGGGCCTGAGAACCTAAACCGTAGGGCCCAGGTTCTCGCTTCTGTTTCAGGCACTTCCAGTGTGGCCTCCAAGTACGAAGAGCTGGAGTGCCTCTATGCGGCCGTCGGAAAGGTAATCTATGAAGGACTCACCAACTATGAGAAGGCCACCAATGCGAATCCCTCCCAGCTTTTCGGTGAGTTTGGGTCCGATTTAGATTTTCTGTAGCAGCGGTTCCTTTTGGCGTCGGTCTCTGTGCTCTCTGGACGAGCTTTCCTTCTCGGAAAGGGTCAGGATGTCAGCTGGAGCTTTGAGCTGACATGCGCTGAGGGTGTCGTGTGTGGCCTGGTACACGTGAGGCCCCAGTCCCCTGTGGTCTTTGAGGGAAATGGCCTCCACCCAACCAATGTCTGTGTTCCCTCGGTTCCTCCCGCCCCAGCCTCAGGTGCAGGATTGGGCTGTGGGGGAGCTGCCCTGTGTGGTGCGGGTCCTGCTGCCCCGGCTTCACGTCACACACAGAGCCGCTGCTAAAGCAGTGTGCACAGATGTGTAATTGCTGCCTTTCACGATACGGTCACCCGTGTTGAAGCCCCTCCCAAGACGAGAACTAGTCCCTGTCTACGTGGTGAGGCTCTGGCTGCCCCAGGTGAGACAAGAGTTGGTTTTTCAGGTAATCGGGGCAGCCGGACGACTTGGGCCTCCAGATACTCAGAAGTCAAATGCGTAGCTACTTTACTCTGCTTTTTGTGAAAGTCACAGACTTAGGGTTAGCAGTTTAAAAATGCTTTTTTAACTTAGTCATTGTATGAAATTTTGAAAATACAAAAGAAGGAAAACTAAAAGTCTCTTTGCTTAGTAAATATTCACTATTAACTAACGTCTTGATGTGTGTCTTTTTTTCTGTGTACTTGTGTGTAAACACATAGGTAGCTTTTATCATGCACACACTTGCATCTGAATCTGCAAACTGAATACGTTACATCTGAATGAGTTTCTTGCTCTCCAGACCCTTGCTACCTGAAATTTGGGAACCAGATAAATTTATCTAAAATTGTATCCCTTAGTATTCAAGCTTGCCAGCTCTTTTCTGGAACTGGGTGGATTTAGATGGTTGAGGAATCCTTTTGTGACTTTTGTTAAGGCGGGTCATGTAGTTCCTGCTTCGCAGCCTGGCTTCCAGAGTTTGAATGTCTTCTTAATTCTCTGGAGGACTCTGAAGAGCTGACCACCGTTGACCCTGCCTCCCTCCTTTGTGGGGGTGACAGCAGGCCGGGGGCAGCACTGGGGCTAGTGCCTGGAGTCTTGTCACACCAGTCTCCCTGCCCTAGACCCAGGGCTCAGTTACTGACTCATCATCACCAAGTATCACCTGTCTCCTGAGACTCAGCCTTTTAACAAAGCAAGCCTAAAATTGTCCAAATCTGTGATGATTGCACCCATCAATGGCAAATGAATACCCTTATACTGGTCTATAATGGGAACCGTGAATACAAATTTAAAATTTCATGTGTAGGTCAGGGTCAGGATGTTCCTAAAAAAATGTCAGGAAAGATTACGTTTTTTGCACATACTCAGTGTTCATGCTCTGATGTTAGTTTTGTTGACTTTTACTGGATTTTTACTGATCTTACTCAGTTTTTCAGAATGGGGTACAAATTGAATTCTAAAATATTTATCATGTCCAAATAGTCTAGATTTGTTTTTAAGGATTTTCTTTTTTTT